GAATGTTTTACCTTTACCTGGGCCAGATTTGCGAAACGCGATGTTATAAAGTTTAACTGAGATGCCGAGTCCAATATTGCACGACAGGGCACGTACACACCAAATTTATTTTTTACTAAGACAATTGCAGTTGCTAATAGAACTCTGGAACCAATGACAGAATGTGAAATGTTTTGATTAGAGCTGGATGATACAAGAGTAGACTGTTTCTTTGGTTCGATATTATTAACCACTTCATGAGCTACTGACACTTTATCTTGAGGATTAGTTAAGTTAATTTCCAAATCATTATTTCCAATGTGCAACAATGTATGATGTTTTAAATGGCAAAATCGGCAAGTTCCTGATTTACACTTCCAAAGTCTGTGACCTTTCCTCAAACAATTTAGACATAAGTTTAATCTCTTCGATTCTTTGAATCGAAGTGTTGGAGATAATTTTTCAAAACTTTGGCAGGTTGTTATGTAATGATCTTTCGCTTCACAAAATGTACACATCTGTGTGGCTCCTGAAGCTATTAGCACATTTCGTCCATGAAAATTAGTTTTCTTGTTTACCTGATGATTGGGTGATTTCGGTTTAATGGAACTTTCAAGATTTTCAAGCATACGGCATCTTCTATCCAAAAATGACGACAACGAATCCCACGAGGGCAATTTATCGTTATGTAAATGCTCCTCCCATTTTGCTAGGCTTTGTAAATCTAGCTTTGACGTAATTAAATAAATTAATAATCCATCTGCCATTTGCTCCTTGGAACATATTGTATCCAAAGCTCTTACGTGTGCGTTAAGCTTATCACTAAGCTGCCGAAGACTCAAAGCCGAATTTTTATCCACACTATGCAAGCCAAATATTTCCTTAATATGGGTTTGAAAAAGAAGTAATTTATTATCAAAACGATTCTTAAGTAAATCGATAGCCTTTTCATAATTAGAATCGGTAGGCTCTAAAGACGAGATGGTGTCCAGCGCTGCACCAGTCAAACTAGTCTTCAAATGTTGAAACTTTTCTAGGTTAGATAAATCCATATCACTTGCTATTGCAGTAGAAAACATTGCAAAGAATGCAGGCCACTCTGTGTATGAACCGCTGAACTGGGGAATTCGAAGTTCCGGTAACCTTGTTTTACGAACAGTAACTGGTTCATCCACAGAAAACTGGCGAAGAGTTGATGATCGGAAAGCTGCACGTTGATTGGTGTTGGCACCTAACTTGCGCTTAAGCTTGGCAGTAACCTCAAAATATGATGTCATAAAATTTGATCGAATCGTATCATCCATATCAACATCACTAGTTTCTTCCAAAAATGATACAGACTGTTCAAAATTTTGATTTAATTTTTCAACATATTCAAGACGCACAGAAAGATCAGCCTCGTCCAAATTATTTATTTCATCTGCGGTAAGACGGTTGTTAATGTCTTCCAGTTGCTTATTAATTGATGCTACCTTTTTAAAGCACAAGGAAAAATTGGATGGCACTTTATCAGCTTCATTTGACGACGATGATGATGTATTTTTGGTAGCCATATTTATTAAAGGTGTTATGCAATACAAAAATCGAAAATTTGCAAATATATTAAAATCCGAATTGATTTTAAATTCCAAATTTACAATTTTATAATATTCAAAATACGAGTTTATTAATATCCGAATTAATATTAATAATTGTGATACAATTTGCCTTTAAGTATCACGTCGGGGTCACCAATGTTTGATCTTATAAGCTTTTTTATAAGATGATGCGAAAAGAAATAAAACTCGAAATGCAGCAAATTCTGCTTCCAAAAATTGATGCGTTTATTTCGCTGTTGCTATGCCAACTAAAATTTACAAAAATGATCTCCAATATCATTAGGCAAAAATCAAAGAAGAAAGACAAAATGCATTTACATTACAAAGCTACAAAAATTACATATTTACATTTTACGATATTGTACTTTAAAATATTTACAATATGTACATACAACCATATTTATATATATATATCTATTAGCAGCCATACACACATCGCCTTACATACATGCTGTAACTGGTCAGCATTACAACGCATGTAAATCATACACACACGGCATTACATTTTGATGCGTTTGAAAACAATTGGTGTTAGATTTTCGATTCTCCTATGTGCGGTGTTTCTGATCTTATAGCTGCTGCTTGCACAGTGGTTTAGCAAGACACCGATCTTAAAAAATAAACTGTGGGTTCAAATTCAAGTTCACACTTCCACCCCTTCTAACCGTTAACCAACACAATCAACGAGGCGATGTAATTGAATAAAATCCTTATTCTTGCTGTTGTTTTCCATAGTTTCCCCAAAAAAGGGATAACTCCGAATTACTTATCATCATCCCATCTTTCTTGAAACAAAAGTATTTAAATTTGCTTTATTTTTTTATCATTTCCCTTGCCCTTAGACTAAAACGAAAATTTCCAATTATCTCTTTATAAAGTTTTGACTGACATCCATAAAATTTTCATATTTTACATGAACTTAAAGTAAATTTGATGGTAATTTATTTTTTTCTCTCCTTTTTGTTCTGCTTCCGTTTTTGTCCCTTAACGCTTTGTGTCAACGTCGTTCACGACCTTGTTGCTGTTGTCGTCCTTATTGTTTCTTCATTTATTCTGTTTGTTTTTAATTTTATTCACCGGTATATCTTGGATTCACTTTCGTTTATATTCCGTTTTTTCTCCTTCTTCTGTTGGTTTTCTTGTTGTAGGTGTTCATGAACAGGATGTGTGCTAATGCCCTTTGCAGGTAATGCCCGTTATTGTACTCTGTGTGTCTTTTTATGAGCTTTGTGCTTGTTAAGAGTATTTTTCCTACTTCCTCAATTTCATGAGTGTTATGAGTGAGTATTGCTAAGTCATTGTGGATGTGTGTGGAATGGTTGGTGTGTCTGTCTATTTGCACATCCATTTTCATGTCTACATGTTTGTTGTTGTTAAGCTCATTGTTAACTTAATGCTTCTGTTGTTTGCACGGGATATAACTGGATGCATCCATCTATCCTTCTTGTTATATTTTCTGCCTTTGGTCAGGTTTGGGGTTTAACTAGAAGATCACATTACATTCGACAATGTCAGCTATGTGTGAATACTAAAAAGTAGTTTTTCTTCAACATAGATGTGGGTCGTGAAATTTGGGATGAATTAATAAGATACTTGGTGATATTGTTTCTGCAGTTTTAATAAATGTAAAACCTAAATGGCATAATGTATTGAAAAAAATGTCATTTGAGAAATGAGGCGAAATTAGTGTTAGTGATTTTATTAACTTAGGCCAAAGTATGAATTTTTATGATGTTTATACCTTCTTCAAAAGACGTTGCCTTGATCATTTTTATCTGGAAGATTTGGTACCCAATTAAAACCCAATATAATAAACTACAGCCAAAATCCTCAAGATACAGAAATGTGGGTAATAACTTGTCGATTACAAATAATTTTGTCAGGTAGATCTGGTAGCCAGGGATCTTCCAACATATTAAACTGCAGCCAAACATGAGCGTTGCTTTTTTAAAGCATTAATCTATACTGAATATTTTTTTGGAAAGAAAGTTGTTATTTACCAGGAATCCTATATGCCAAATTATGGCATTTTCAATGAGAAAATTGGTTAAAAATGTATTACCAAAGCAAATAGACCCGACGGGACCTTCCTGTGGGGGCTATGTTAAAACTTTGACCTATGTAAACAAGTTTCCACAAAAATGTGTTTTTACTCTTCAATATCCCGAAATGCCCAATTACAGCCACTACAATGGAAAATTGCTGCAAATACCTTAAGTAACTGGGCGGTACCTATATATGGGAGCTATGTCAAACATAGTTTGCAATTTCAAGGTATTTCATAAGGGTAGATCGATTTAATATATACACAATCTTATGGAGTAGGCTATAAAAAACATACGTATTTCTTTAAGAAGGTAGATAATATTTTCAAATCTACCCAATATGAACTATGAACGCCATTTGTGCCACTACATATTTAAAACTACAAAATAAATCCCCAATTTCATTACCATCTCCAGCTATGTCTTATATACGAGCTGAAGATTTTGTTTATCTACTTTATTCTTGGACTTAGTTTACAGTATCCTTGAATTAAAGTATTTCTTAAACTAACAACAAAACAAAACAGCCACTTTCATACTTTCTCGATCCATGAGGTTTCCTTTGTTATAATTTCACAATGTAGCTTCTGTGTAATCTAGCATTTATTCGCTAGGTCGTTCGTTCGACGATTTCCTTGTACGAATGTGCAAACAAACAATGAAAGTTGATGTAGATGTGAATCTATGAAAGTATGTGTGTATGTGATTTAAAGTCAAATTTTATAATTTCCGTTGTAAAATATGAATTAAGTCTTTGAAACCACATATAGTCTAACATTGCATTTACCATTTTTATGGTGTAGGTAACAAGCAAAAGGAAACGAGATAGACCCATGGTTCCTTTTGAGAGTATGCATAGAATCACTTTCTGAGTCCATTAATGCATATCCGTCTGTCCGTCTGTCCATGTTAAATTGTAAATAAAGTGCAGGTCGCTTTTATTATCCGAATTTAAGAACCCAAAATTGGGGGGTACCCTTATGAAGACAAAAGACAACTTTATGTTGTCGTTTAAAGGCTAGACAACAGACAGACGGAAATGCTTAAATCGTCATAGAATTTTACGCTGATCAAAAATAAGGTTGCAAGTGATTACTTCGATGAATTATAAACGAAAAGATAAACGTAATATAAATTTACAATTGAATTTATTCTGAAAATATATTCCGTATTGTCTTATATGGTAATTAAAGTTCACATTTACATGATGTTGAGTTGCATTGTAATGAATGACAACGTTTGTTTTGCGGTTTAACTGGAAGTAGAGAATAGCAAAATTTTGAATAAATCCAATGATTTGGAGAATAAAAGTAAGTCAGAAAATAACGCCCGAAATTCAAGAAATCCTACAGCGTAAATTTAGCTGGTAATTTTTACCACAAATATATCTATTCGATAGTTTTTTTAACAATTCGAATTATTCCAAAATAAATAAATGACAATATAATATCATTTAAAAGCCGGAAAAGGATTCGCACAGTCAGTTATATGGAATCTTGCTTGTTTTAAAATTACTACTGGCTAATGCGAAATAATACAGATTGTGGACACAACATTTCTAGTTGCTGTTCAAAACTTTGTAGTATCCATAATAAATATTTATATGTATACTAGCTGGACCCGTGGCACTTCGCTGCCTTAGCTAATGTTATCAACGTTAATTTTAAATATCATATAAAAAATGTGTGAAGTGCTCATGTGTTCTCCTGCTTTCCTGATTGGTAACTGACGATTGTTGTATAGTAGTTATTGAATTTATCGCTGTTTCTGTAATGGTTGTAATTTTTGTTTTCTTGAAAGCTAAAAAAACAGATTTTTTCTCAAAGTGACTAAAATTCAAAAATTATGATGGCAATATTTTTTTATCAACAAAGCATGCAAATGAAGAGAAGGAGTTTAGCTGAATTATTGAACTGGTTGTTATTTTCAGTGCAGATAAGGACATTTAATACGACAAATTACTATTTTGCACATCTTAACATCAATCGCCTCCATCGGTTACATCCTCCATTCTAGATGTTCAAACGATTTATAATTCAAATGCACACTATTCACTTCAAGATTTTTTAATCCATATTGCATATCCATACCCTTCCCCACACTGTGCTACAGGGCAGCAACGTACACAGGATTTCATTTCGGGGGGGGCCCGGTAGTACAAAATGAAAAAAATCGCTGTTGAAAACATAAATTTACTGTTAAAAAAATTCATTTCGGGGGGGCCCGGGCCCCTGGGCCGCCCCCCTGCGTACGTCCCTGCTACAGGGTATAATGACTTTGTGCATATGTTTGTAACAGCCAATACTAATCGAGAAAGACCCATGGTCCCTCTTTAGAATATGTATAGAATCACTTTCTGAGCAAAATGCGGCCTGTACATTTATGATCCGATTTGGAAGAAATTAGCACAGGTCACTTATTTGGCCCAAGGACGAATCCTTTTAATATTGGAGAAAATCGGTTCAGATTTAGATATAGCTACCATATATATTTTCGTTCGATTTTATGTAAATAGTACACCATACTGGCAATATTTGAGCGATTGAGACCATATTTCGCACAGCGTACTGAATTAGGACCGTATTAATGTGTGCGAAGTTTTGTTGGAATCGGCTCAGATTTAGGTATAGCTGACATATATAGTTTCGTCCGATTTAACGTAAATGAAACACCATACTGTCAATAATTGTCCGATTACCACAATATTTTGCACAGCATATTGAGGTGCACCATAGATCCTGTTCTATTTGCACGATATTTTGTTGTTGAAATCGGTTCAGATGTAGGTATAGCTGCCACTTGCATAATGGTGCAAATTGAGGAAATAGAGGAGCCTATGTATGTTCAATTTACATAGTATTATGGATTGAAGTCATTTCATTTTTAGATATAGGTTCCATATATATTTAC